CTCGTGAGGATTAGCGGCTCGGATAAGCAGCTCGGATAATGGATGGATGGCTGGATGGATGGATGAAATAACTTAGGCAAAATGAAGCAACAAAAGAGGACGGCGATTTACGAGTTTCCAGCGATACAATGTTTTGAGGATATGAGCGCGCAATCAACTCATTTGCGCATTTGCATAGTTAACGTCATCATGAAGCACAAGTAGGCATTGGAGTTCAGAACATTCGGATTTAAAAAGAAATCACCAGACCCAAGAAGATAACATAAAAGGTTGATGATAAGTATTCCCCATAGTCAATAATGGACATTCAATCAAATGCCTGTATCTAGTTTAGACAATTATCTATCATTCACTATCATGAAATTCATAGTTTTTGGTGACATCAATGGACATGTTTGGATAAATTCTTACAAATGAAAAGATGGGGAACTGCCAATCTGTCAAAGGAAAGAATCCTCCCCTTGCTCACAACCGCTTTTCACTTTTTAAAAAGCTTTGGGATTGTGTGCTCAATTTGTTGATGTGTGATGTGTCTGGCTTGAAGCAAACCTTGGATTAAGTTCCAGGCAGATATCGATGTAGCATCCAAAGGATTTTACGCCAGGAAAAAAAAAATTGGTCACCATTAAATGCCATGGTCGTCCCCAGGGTTTGGACATTGCATTCATGCGGCTTGCTCACTGCAGCTCGCCTCGCTGTCACCCGAGCGGCAGCACAAGGATGTTCATAGAGGTATCTTTCAAAGCTACAACGAGACAGCCGTCACCATCAAAAGCAATAAAACACATGGTGCGGTGACGGCGCATGAATCACTGCCTGTCTGCACAGGCTATCGTTTAGCCGGAAAGCTTTTTTGTATACATCTGTGACTCGCTGACAATGTCAAGATCAACAAACGAAAGAGTGACAAGCAAGAGAAAATCAGATATAGGGTGTTTGCGGGGCAATAAATCAACTTTTGCTATTCACTTTACTCTGACAAGATTATTTAGACTACAATCGATCATGGGAGTTTAGTGAATATTCGATGCGCGTGTCTGTCCGATTTAAGCCGAGAGACAGAAATCAGCCACCAATGGCAAAATAACTGACACGGCAAGTGTAACAACACTCGCACTCCATCAGCGACGTTTGCACTATCAAGAAATCAGATGAAATCTCGTGGCAGAATAGATAGAGTGGGTTCATCTTCACATCTATTGTGTGTTTTACAAAGTCAGTATCAACTACAGCTGCCAGCTTATTCTCAGTAGGAATTGGCTGACCATTCCACAGAAGCTCCTGACTCGGAGGTGCGGCTTAGCCCTTTTTATTTCCACACTGGCTACTGTGGGTCTCTGCCCGTTTGATATTAGAGGTAAGAGTCGAGCTTGTCAGCTCATAAGCTGGGTGACACAAGATCAACTGCCTGCCGGGCCAAAGCCCAAAGGTTACATTGCTGCCTCGGTCGACACCAGGGGTGTCAAACGTACAAGACAATTTGGCCAGGTATAAAAATGAGTACGGCCGACTGAATAAGTAGCCGCATCAAATGGTTGATGTTAATTGTACACAGTGGCAGCCTACAAGCTTCTGGCTTCCGTTTATTCTAAGCTACACGGATGCTGTTTGGAGGGAAATAACTTTCAAATCGTCTTAATGTGGCTTTTTGTAATAGGTTTATTTTATTGTACAGCTCAGATCTGGTGCTTTTCAAGGTGGAAAGGACTTCCGAAGGAGCGACTTTGAAAGACAAGGTAATATAGTTCGCTGAGGTCATAGAAAGTGGATCAATACACTAGCTTTCATTAGCATCGAGCTTTGGCGCCACTCAGGTCAAGCAACAGCCTTACCAATAGGCAGGGGTCGCAATCTGGGCCTGTACCGGACATGCGGAGAAAGTCTTGTATATTTGGATTTTGCAGCACAAAGCGCTACATTATTTTTCGCAACTTTTCTTATTTTTGTTCTGATAAAGACAGTCATGTACATCATTATGTGGGTGCCACCATCTGTTCAGACTGAGTCATCACAGTTGAATGAAATGGCAGGCAAAGAACAAGATGATTAAACAAAAGTAATAATAGTAATAATAATAATAATAATAATAATAATAATAATACATTTCATTTATAAGCGCCTTTCAAAGCACTCAAGGACACTTTACAACCAAAACAATTAATGATTGTTTATCAAACAAAACAAAGTGTCTCGTCCCGTCTCTATAAATAATAAAAGAGATGAATTTAAACTGATAATAATAATAATAATAATAATAATAATAATAACAATAATAATAATAATGGCAAATGTGTGCTGCCAAAACCATGGTGAAATGGTGGGTATTCCTCAATTTTACTTGAAGCCCTTGCTGTATTCATTTTAAGTCTTTGCACTTTGCTCTGTTCCTTGAAAAGAAGTTGTACAACCACCTATTTTGATTGGCGCTTTTTCCTGCCACTGCATTATTTGTGTTTCATTGTACCGTATTCTCCACACTAAAAGGCGCACTGGATTATGAGGCGCACCTTCGATGAATTGCCTATTTTGTAATTTTTGTCATATATTGGACACACCGCACTATCAGACGCAATCTACAATGTATCCACTAGATGGAGCTACGCTCAAGGAAATGCCAACAAAACTGTAGCAACGCCACTCGAGTGAAGCGCGCCTCAGCAATCCATAGTCCACTGCTCTCTGCTGTGCGCGTGTGAGCGCGAGCACGTACGCATGTGGTTCAACCAATCAGCGCAGACGCAACCCACGTCACAGATCAAAGAAGCTTTGAACAAACGACAACAGCTAAGAGAGCTTAGCTGTTGAGTGGCGTTGCTACAGAACAATGAGATGTCAAACTTATTTAATAAACCAGCGACACAGTTCACTGAACCAACAGCAAGTTACAACGTTGACTCGCTAACATTGAACTCTCTTGCCGCTGCTCTATTTCCATGTTCAACTGCGTAACCCAATCTCCTTACGTTTGAACTCTGCGTTGTAAGCGTGTCTCTAGCAAGGACCCATTTTTGAAGTCGACATACTACCATAATAACCATACACAGGTGCATCGGATTTTAAGGCGCGCTGTGAGCTTTAAGAAAATGGAAGGATTTAGGTGCGCCTTTTCGTGCGGAAAATAAGGTACTTATTTTTTGTTAATTTTATCATGTGGTCTATACAAAATATGTATTTTATGAACAAATGGAAAGGAAGTAATAAAACATTGACATTAATTGCATGTAATTAAAGATGCTAAATTGTTACAAATAAGGGAACAGAACGGCTTTTTTTTTAATCAATTTATTTACAGTTACTTTGGTTGGAATAGAGACCAGGCTGGCCCGGAAATAACAAAAATCTGCGTAATATTGACACCGATTGTTTTTAAGTTGTATACCATGATTTAACTGGTTCTGCCCACTTGGCAATAGATTTTCTTTCATGTGACCCATGAGCTAAAATGAGTTTGATGCCCCTGGTCTACACATTACCTGGGCATCCATTAGTAGGCTGATAGGTTGCCAATAAAGGATGGTGAAATATGCCTTGTGGGACCCCTTTCACACTGAAAATTTCGTTAGGTTTCTCAGGGGGTTTTGCCTGTGCAGTTACCTCAGCCTAGCCTCAAGGTGGAAACAAATGGAAAACAGGGTCTGGGCCAACGATGGTCAACCAGAGTCTGTGGCCTCACATTTTTAGAGTGTATAGTTTCATCGTGTAGATGTATTGCAGCTGCCAATTTGTCCTGAGTAGGAATAAGCTGACCATCCCACAGAAGCTCCTTACTCTGAGGGCAGCTTAGGCCTATTTATCTTAACTGGCTGCTGTAGACATCTGCCCCATTGATAAGAGTAGAGCTCGCCAGTGCATAAAATGGGTGACAAAAGAGAGCCTGCCGTGGTCCAGGCACTACCTTGCCATCCGGGAGCAGTCAGAGGTTGACAATCACGGAATGTCGAAACATGCCAAGCGGCAGCATTTCGGGCGGCTTCTGGTGGAATCCCTTGACCCAACCCATTAGTTTGCGACAAATGAACATAGGTTAGAGAAAATTAGACTCACTCTGAGATCACCTGGCGTTCTTGTCATCTTGGGGTAAATGACCAACGCAACAATCATTTTGTTCTCCGACAAGATTCCATCGCGGGAACTCGTGACCCAACAAACTTTTTGATCCAAGTCAAACTTTTGACAGGATGAACCTAATTTCCAAGCATTTGGCATTGAAACGATTCTGATTTGGTATTGCTGTCATCCAACTTGGCTGCATGAGATCTAATATCCACTAAGCCCTAAAAGTCCATGGAAGCACTGGCCATTATATCCCCTATCTGGTCCATCTTATAAACAGTTTAGTATTGACTTCACATCTATAAATGGAACCCACTCTGGGTGTTGCATGACAGAATGCATTTTCTTAAAGGGGACCTGGGAAGCGTCGGCAGACAGAAGACCTCGGGGACGACAAGGAAAAAAGGACAACCGAGCAGTTTTTGTCTGCATATTCCATCGTGGGCCCCAGGTGAGTGCTTTTACAGAACGGGTACCTCTTTTGACAGCTATTTTCATTTAGCACAATGTAGGCCAAAACACAGGGTGACAGAGAAGACAGACTGTTATGCATATAGGACATCAATATGGAGGCGACTCGCACTGAAGGAAGGAAAAAATTAAAAATTTGTGCTGTCCTAGTGATGGAGTGCTACTATGCAACACAAGGGCGCACACAGACTGAAACGAGATGTAATTAACAAGAAAAATATCTTCTCTCTTCCTCGAGTATTAGTGTGTGATGTGAACACCGTCCCAGACCGGCATAATCATTGTGTACAGAAGCCCGCATTGAGTCAGAAGCAGAGAATCGCGATAATGCCCTCGCTCGACTAATGAGCGCCGAGCGGCCCGCCACAGTTCAAGTTCGAACGCCAGCGGCTTGACTTTTGCTCTTTTCCCTGACTGGCAGGGGCTCAGCTATCAAAAAGCCATCTAAATATGAAATTTCCCCAGCTGCGGCATACCTCTCGATGATGTCTGCGATGACACAGGCAAATAACTGCAGGCCCTCTGGAAGCTGCAGAGCCACTGGAATGAGAAGAGGCACACAGAAAAAAAAAATGATGTACTTGTGTTTTGAGGGATGGCAGGCTGATAGCAAATAATCGTCAGGAAGCAAAGCTATTCATAGGCCAGTGTGCACCGCTGGCAAAGAATAATGACATTTCAGGGCAGTTTCCCTTCTGCCACACTTGCAATGTTGGTTTATTTTACAGGCTGATGGGCCATTGGAAATATAGCGTGAACCAACAGCCTTAGCTTCATCTCAAGGCTTCTCCCCCGTCACTCGGTGCCTGATGGTGTGGAGCACCACCTATGCTTTTTAGGCATCTGTCCAATCATAATCACTCGCGTTTTGTTCACATCCGCGGGCTGGACTTGGTCTTTCACTCACCAGCAAATATAGGCCACATTGTTTTTCTCCGATTCAGCCAACAAGGCCCAGAGCAAACATAAAATATGGATGAACTGATTGACAAACCACTGATGGTCCTACTGATGTTTTTACATGTTTACAAATGAGGGCCATCCAATCTCCTGATACAGCATGCCAGAATGAGAGGAACCAATAATGAAAAACAATTTTTCCTGGTTTCATGTTCGCGTCAAGAGACAGATTTTAATAAAGCGCCAAACCAACTTGGCCGTCATCATCCGCTGCACCCTGACAGCAGGCGGTGAAGTGCTGCCCTTTTCGCCTGCATACTAATTTAAGGAAGGATTACAACAAATGATGACGGGGTGAATATTCTGCAACATTTTCTCATGTAAATGCGGGGGCCGGTGATGCATGAAAGGGGGCGCTACTTCTAAAAGCCAGATGGCACCTTGAGGAGAAATACTTGAAAGCAGGTTAAGCTTTTAATAAACATGATGTCTATGAAGCTCTCAGTGTCACTAGTTGACCAAACTTCCAATAATTACTGTGGAAACTGAATTTGACCAAAATTAAATAACCTCAAAAGTCGTAGAAAGGGTTCTGTCAGTCGTCATCTGTACCTGTGGGTAAAAAACAAAAAAGGACGTTTAGCTTCCCTCACACAAGCTTCGCCCCTACTTTCAGTTAGCCTGATCAGCATGTCTATGTCCCTTGGTGGTCCCTTGGTGGTTCATCACGGAGACTTCAGGGTTGTCTACCGCTGACGAAGCTTCTGTGAGAGAAGCGAAACGTCCTTTTTGTTTTTTACCCACAGGTACAGATGACGACTGACAGAACCCTTTCTACGATGGAACTTTCCTGTGCGACTGAGAGCCTCCACAAGTAACCTCAAAAGTGAAAACACAGTCACGCGACAAGGAGCAACTAAAAGTCCACTGGCGTGTCCTGCATTTGGGGGGCATTTTTTGTGTATGATGTCGCCCCAGCAGTCCGACTGGACACACAGTGGCAAACGTTACAATTGGAAATGGTACTTTTTGATGAACTTGGAAAGCGGTAAAGATTACTCTCGTCCTGGCTGATAGGTTCAATAAAACTAAAGCTACGACAGGATTAACAAAAGAAGGTAATGAACGTCGCAAAGCCCAGATGTTTAACTTCCTTTTTGACAATTGCAAGAAAAAGCATTTGGAAATTTGAATTTTTAAATGTTCTAAGCATCTTATTCATAGGTATTTTTTAACATTTATTTAAACTTTGATATTATTTAAATGCATTCACACTTGGGGCTGACATCATTTCTGTTGGTAGCTTATTTTCACCTGCGTGCAGCATAACAGCGCAAGACTGCTTCACCATGTTTACTTTGAATTCTGATCTCCACTAATTTATTCAAGACTGAGGACCTCAGAAGTCTAATGGCGTTATACTCCATTATTATTTCTTTAATGTGCCCAGGACCTAAACCATTCAGTGATTTATAAAACAAATACAACAAATTACCCCAATTGACAATGTAGTAAAAGTCCATTTGTGTGTGTCTGACACTGCAGGGCATACTTGTATTTTTGTATTTTAAAGATCGTTTCTGCTGATATGTTTGCAGTTTTACCCCCTTACAGTCAATATACCTGTGGACAAGAAAGAAGTTCACAGAGCTTTAGTGCTGGGGTAAATCCAAGATATCAGCATTTACTGAGGGTAGCACAATAACAATGACTTTGAGGCAGAAAAGATAAACGCTTACACGAGGACAGCAAATGGACAGCAAAAAAGGCTCAGTCCGGACAATATCTTCTGCCTCACATGCTTCAGCGAGGTCAAAGGCTTCCTCCACCGAGGCTGCAGCCGCCAAAGCCCGTCTAAAAGCACGTCTGTCTTATGCAGAAAAAGAAATGGTGCTCAAGGTAGAAAAAGCACAACTTGAAGCCAAGATGGATATGCTCTCACTGCGCAGGAAGCAGCAGTGGCTCAGGCCGAAGCAGATGTCCTGGAAGCTGCTATTGATGGCAGTGTTCGAAGCAGCACCAATCTCAACCTCCAGCAGTTATTTGAACCTCCAGTCGACACATTGGAGCGCACAAAACAATACGTAGCCAAGCAGGTTGAAACACCAACCCCAACAGCCATTGATATGGAATGAAACAGCATTATGAATCACCAGATGTCTACTCCAGTCAACGCCGACATCTCGAGACAGGGCACAGTGAACCTCAAGATGGCTTTGTTTCCACACGTGAAAGCAAAACACTTCTGCAGTCACTCGAGCCTGCTGCCACCCACCCATATTCAAACAACATGCAAGGCAGTCATCAAGCTTACAAATCAAGCTACAGCTCTTATCATCTGCCATCCAGCCATACACCAAATCCACCTATCCCTGACCAAGTCAACGTGGCTGACTTTGCAAGATATTTAGCCCATCGAGAGCTAGTCTCAACAAGCCTAATAAAGTTTAATGATCAGCCATGGAGTTATAAGGCATGGAAACAGTCCTTTGTGAACGCCATCAAAGACCTCAACATGATGTCCAGTGAGGAGATAGATCCGTTGATGGTGTGGTTTGGGAAGGAGTCAGCTGAGCACGCCAAACACATCAGGACTGTTCATGTCAACTTCTCAGACAGGGGACTAAAAAAGAATATGGGATAGACTGGAAACCTGCTACGGTGCACCTGAAATGGTGGAAGACTCCTTCTTTGAACGAATTAATAGCTTCCCTAAAATCTCCAGCAGAGATTATTTAAAGCTCCAACAGCTGAGTGGCTTCCTCAAAGAATTGAAGGCAGCCAAAGCAGATAAAGCAAACAAAGTCCAGGACTTGAGTTGTCGTTCCTCTCAAAGATGCAATTTTGAAAGAAGGCTCGTGATGAGAGATTTTTTTTTTTCTTTATGCAAAAGAGGTTTCAAAGTAATCATGCTGAAATAGCGTCCCGGCTCACATTTAACGAAGAAACGTGCTACTTACTGTCCTTTGGTGTCTACATTCCAAGGAAACTGAGGAACATCCGTGTGGTGTTTTACACCGGCATTACGTAATGATCTCCTATTAACTGGACCTGACCTCAAAACCAACCTTGTTTGTGTATTCCCCATACTTCACAAGGAAGTTGTACCCAAGACAGTAGACAGTGGGCAAATATGCCACCATTTCCTAGTGAGAGAAAACCACAACTGTCTCAAGTTTCTGTGGTTCGAGGATAAACAATCATTTGGAGACATCATATATCCAGAAAGTGGGTCCATAAGTCTTTGGGAACTGTGACTTCGCCTCACGGGTCATTTGTTGTCGAAGACAGTCAGAGAACAAAGCTGAGGTTGATGTCAAGCGGTTTGCCAACTGTGACTTTGATCCAGATGACAGTTTAAATTCACTCCCCTCAGTTGCGGCAACAGTAGTGCTGCTTAAGAGGACAAAAGAGGTTCCCTCAGAGTCAAACGTGCTACACGAAAATGCCTCAAACAAAAGAGAAATGCATTCCCATCTCAATAACCTGCCATTGCTAGTGTCAATCATATCGCACTCCTGTTTCAGAAGAATCTTGCAGTGAGAGCTAATGGCTGCACATGCTGGCATCACTACGCACACAGAAATTACTGTACTAAAAGAACCATCAGTCATTCAGTTCAAATGTACACCTCCAAGAATGTGAAAGGCTCTCAAAAGAAAGCAATCTTAAAGCCTTCGATCCTTTCATTGATGATGATGCTCCCTGGAGAGTCATGAATGGCATCAGAGAAAGTGAACTCCATTCACCAAAAGAAATCTCTCCTAATTCAGGGCAAGGATCATATTGCCACACTTCTGGTCAGGTACAACCACCAGGAAACATAAATACCAGGTCAGACTATTCACTGAAGGTGCTTTACAAGCTGCTAGTCTCTGGATTGTGGATGGTAAAACAAGAGTAAGCAGTGTGAGAAACGGATGCATCACTTGGCATACAATTCATGCTTTGCCTCATGCTCAAATATTTGATGCCAGTCCAGCTTATCACCTATGCACTGAATTTGGCCCGTGGACAGCGTCCTCACATCATCCAAGGGGTGGCCTTGTACAAAGCAAATGGTGGACAGCACGACTCACGAATACAGAGGTCACCAAATCATTAAATGTGTCCAGTTTCATCCACGCCTTTCATCAATACCTGCCTTTTTACAGGCCAAGTCAAACTGATCTATTCTGAGGAACCAATTGGATCAGTGCATTCAATTAGCTCAAGATTGAAGATCGACAACACATGCGTGGAAAAGTTCCTGTTCGATAAAGGTCGCTGAAGGACTTTCAATATTCCTCAAGCAATCTCACATGGGTGGGCCAAGGAATTGGTGTACCCGGGTGGATCCTTGATGGAACCTCAGCGATGACCCTGAAGAGACTCTCCAAACCGATTGGCAGAGGCGGTGGCTCTCATCAAAGCACGGCCTCCGATTCCAACGTGCGCCAAACGAGACGATCCTCAAATACTCTTGCCAGTAACACTCCCCACTCTAAAGGTCAGTCCCTCAACTGATGCCATCTGTAACTGGGTCAAAGACTTCAAAACAAGCAGAGGTAGCAAGTCCAGCATTTGGCTGAAACCTTTTGGGACAGATAAGACAAGCAGCACTTCTCCGCACTTCAGGCGCAATGGAAGATACTGCCTGC